CACGTCATCTTCAGTACGCAAGCACTACGACAACGACCACGCAGGTGCTGTCCCTGAGGACCTTCTTAGCTGTTTCAAAGTTCTCAAGAAGTGCATGAACAAATTCGATTGTCTTGTCAACGAGATGCTTTACATCAAACAATTAACACCGAGTTTGAACGTGCAAACGGATTCTATCCGTGCTAAAGTATTTGTGTAGCTACCTCCCCTATGCAAATTAGTTGTAACTCTTGAACTCGCATTTGTTAATTTTATTTTCATTTGTACCCTTGATAATGGCGTCATGAAGTCGCCGAAACGTCGGGATATTATATCGTTCGTTTTTACCTGTCTATGTATTACTAAATCTTTGTTAATAATAATTTAATTCAACGTTTTTAATAAAACAATTGTTCCACTCGTGCTTATTGGATATGAGATGATTATCGCCAACTCGGCGCTATGCGCCTCGTTGGCTATCTATCATCTCATATCTAACGCGCGCTCGTGGAATAATTGTTAATTAGTATATACACAATCCGTGATCTTGGAATTTCAAGCAATCTGATTGGTTCACTATCTTAGGCTAATCAACAATGTACACCTCCGAGTGAGTGGACAATGTGAAAAACAAAATAGTGGGCATAAACTCACGTTTTGCTAAAGTTTCAGAAGCAGAAATTGCCTTGAAATGGCTTCCTTTTAATTTTGTCGAAATCACTTTGTGTGTATATACTATGACAATTATTCTTTTCAATCTCATTGAATAGTGGCTTTCGGGAATATTTACCTCGCCACTTCGCGGCTTGGTAAATATTTAGCCACTATTCACCTCAATTTCAAAGAATTATTGTTGAGTAGAAATTAGATGTTAGACTGCATACCTTGGATTCTAACCCATCAGATTTCTCCTCTCTATCATGCCTAATTGACAAGTAAAGCCTTTGCCCATCTGTTCTTGTTATGGGAACTGATTCACAGCTCATAGGGGGTCTACGGAACACCTTCCTTCTCTCTGGCTTTGTTGAAGGGATTTCAGCTAACCTTCTGTCAATGCTGGTCACAGTTTGAGACTGGTTTGAACTTGGTTGTAGCTGTCTGAGGGGACTTTGCATACTGGGACTTAGAAGATGATAATCTGCATCACGACTACCACCATTTTTGCTCTGACTGAGGCGAGCCTTCTTTTCACAGGGAGCTAAAAAGATAAGTTAAACGAATTCCTGGGTAAGCTGTATAAGCAAGACAACTACACTGTAAATAAGATAAGTTTGTGTCACCACTCCTCTGCTCAATGTTTCAGTTGATATAAGCCCTGGGATTGCAAAATCCTACAAGGGGTTTGAGTATAGCTTATGGGAGGTACCAAAACAAAAACAATGCTATGAAACAGGCTAAAAATAAAATGTGCCTAACCCTTTGGTGTCTAATCTTACAGTGGATCTCTAATAAGATTGTGTACTCTTATCAATCCTTTACTACACAGTTACTAGGTAAATACTGTCTGGATATAACTTCAAAAACATTAGGCTATTGAAATAACAAAAAGGATTGTGTAGAAACATCACAAGATACTTATTCAAACCATGCTTGTTGTATGTAGAATACAAACAATGATGACCAAAATGGTGGCAGATTAGGGTGGTGTTATGGGATCTCTGATTTTTTCTGGGTTTTTAGGAGTAAGTAGGGCCATAAAGGAGCATGCCTCACAAGGTCCTTACTTTGTGACCAAGTCATATAATGACAAGATAGTGCAGATTGAGCCACTTATGGCTGGCTGGTACCCATTCATGCTCATGGGTAGAGACAGATCCCTAGTCAGAGTCCTCAAGTCACAAAAAAATAGCAGGATAGGACAACCTAGGACCAGGAGAGGGGGGTGGGGGAAAAAGAGGGGAAACAAATAGCAGGATAGGAAAACATAGGACCAGGAGAGGGGGGTGAGGGAAAACAAATAACAGGATAGGACAACCTAGGATCAGGAGAGGGGGGTGGGGGAAAAAGAGGGGAAACAAATAGCAGGATAGGACAACCTAGGACCAGGAGAGGGGGGATGAGGGAAAAAGACGGGAAACAAATAGCAGGATAGGACAACCTAGGACCAGGAGAGGGGGTGGGGGAAAAAGAGGGGAAACAAATAGCAGGATAGGACAACCTCGGACCAGGAGAGGGGGGTGAGGGAAAAAGAGGGGAAACAAATACCAGGATAGGAGAACCTAGGACCAGGAGAGGGGGGTGAGGGAAAAAGAGGGGAAACAAATAGCAGGATAGGACAACCTAGGACCAGGAGAGGGGGTGGGCGAAAAAGAGGGGAAACAAATAGCAGGATAGGACAACCTAGGACCAGGAGAGGGGGGTGGGGGAAAAAGAGGGGAAACAAATAGCAGGATAGGAGAACCTAGGACCAGNAATTCTTTGAGCAAGTCCAGTTCATCGGCGTAGCGAGATTCAAAATCATCAACTTCACTGGGAATTTCCCACTCTTCCATGCTCGTAGATTTCCCGATTTAGGCTAATTTCTTATGTAATCACTTCACAAAGCAGTCTTCAATTCCTCCTCCAACGAATTCCCGCCAAAGATGTACCTAGTACTTACCACGTACATATATTCATCGTACCTGATCGTCTTCATCACGAACTTCATATATTCATCGTATCTGATTTATCATCACGGGTTTATTACGAATCAACTTAACGGCCTACTCCCAGTTGGCTTGTTAGCTCAATTGGTAGAGCGCTGCACTAGTATCGGAGGTCAGTGGTTCGAATCCCGTACAGGCCTGATTTTTTTCAGGTCCGATTTTCGCTATTTGCATAAATAGCGCTCTCTACTGCGAGGATCGTGCATTATACGTATATATAACCGCAGTTTAAAATATATGAACTTCATATATTCATCGTATCTAAGTTGAAATTGTAAATTGGCCACCGTAACGAATAAAAAAGCTTCTACATCCTCCTCGTCCTCATCCTTTATTCGTTACGGTGGCCAATTATCAATTTCAACTTAGCTGATATAACCAATTACGATTTGCTTACTGCTTGGAAGTTACAAGATCAAAATTTTCTTCGGGAATTGCCCGATCAAAAAAGATTCCATGGATTCCTCCACAGATTCCACTGGCTAAATGTTCGATCCACATTTCAGTTAACTCTGCAGAGTGATTGAGATCAAGATCTCTGGATACAATGGAGCCAAATGAAGTGAACTTCGTCGGTTTAGCCTGATATAATGCTGTACTCGGAGATGTATGCCGACGTAAGCGTATTTTCAACTTCCAAAGGAACCCCTGTCGTCTGCAGAAGAATCTTACCTTCTTTATCAAATTCTTCGAGCAAGTCCAGTTCATCGGCGTAGCGAGATTCAAAATCATCGACTTCATTGGGAATTTCCCACTCTTCCATGCCCGTAGATTTCGCGATTTAAGGCTAATTTCTTCTGTAATCACTTCACAAAGCAGTCTTCAATTCCTCCTCGAACAAATTCCCGCCAAAGATGTACCTGGTACTTACCACGTGATTTCGAGTGACGTCAGTTATGAACGAAATCGAGGTTGGGGAATACCCCAGCGAAATCTTTCACATTGTGTCGAGGTAGAATCGAAATCTTCACCTTAATGGACTTGTGTGGACTTTTCTGACAATTGCTCGAAACTGAAACTTCATTTAATCGCTGTTATCCTTCCATAAGAGGGCTCTGTAGCCAATTTTACCTACCAGGTGATAGTCTGCGAGACATCCTGCAACTTTGGCAAAAGCGGAAGTGATCGAAACATTCTCCATGGAAGAGGATTCGGAACGAGAACTAAATTTCGAGTTTCGAAGTTTTTTGTTTCAAATTGGAAAGGAATTGACATCGCAAGACCTCGAACATTTAAAGTATATTTTAAAACCATATGTGTCATCCGCTCAGTGCGATGGAATGAAAGTTTGTCCGTTTTTTGATGAATTGAAAAGAAGGTGTCTACTCAGCCCGACCAATTTAACTGTGTTGAAAAAAGGGCTCGATACAATAGGGCGACAAGATCTTGTGGACAAAATAGTACAAAAAGAACAGTACTTTGCTACGTTTTCAAGTCCAAGTGGTGGAACAAACTTGGGAACGTACGGTTTGTATCAAGAATTTTCTGAAACATTTATATACACGTCACGATAATTTATAAATAGGCTTCGTGTATCAAAAATGCTTTGCACGATGACGCATTTTACCTTTGTTTAGGAATTGGGTCTGTACCCTGCCGTATAGTAGCTGTTTTATATTCTGTATTTGTAATTCTGTGAAATATGTAATGGAAAGATCTTCGTATTACCCCAGGTTCCTGGGGTAAACTATCGTTTTGCCAGCTGTACGTTTTCTTACGTCAGTTATAACTGTGTGGATAACGAAGTTTGAAGTCATACGGAAGTCTTGCCCATGTATCAAGCAGATATGAATGGGTCTCTCTCTACAGCCTGCATGCAATCGGTATATTTTTCTTACAAGAGAGTGCTTAAATTCTAGCCAGGTGATTAGTTTGTTATAGAGGGAGGAAAGCCTAGAGCAAAAAAACAAAAAAGCAGTGAGGGAAGGGTTGAGGACAAAAGCCTCCCTCCTTCAGTGCATTTTCAGCCAAAAGGCGATGAGAAGAACAAAATAAATCAGATAGGGGATGGGTTTTGATTTAACAACAACATCTCTCAACATAATTTTAAAGAAATGCAGGATAGACAAGGCACATATATAGAATTGATATTGATAATGTGGGAGGTAGTGAAAGGGTTAAATCAGGTTTCACTCTAATTTTTTGATAGGTCAATTAATGCATCAATTGATATAACTTGAATATTGATCCAAAGTTATCAACTGCACTCCTCTGCCAAAACTGTTCCAAAATTTTTCATGATATTATATAATCCAGTTGTGATATTATTATATTACAATATCTAGTTTATTGTCTATGCACTCAGTTTGTAACAGGAGTAAGTTAGATTTAAGGATTACTGGAAAATTTTTGGGGGGTTGGGTTGGCAGTAGACTTTGTTAGGTAACCCAAGTCATATTGTTTATAGTCTAGTACTGTACTGAACACTTAGATAAAAAAATAAAATTATCGGGATGCTAAGGTCACTGATATACCAATGATGATGTGAAGATAGGGACCTGGGTACTGGTTATCAAATTTTGGCACTAAAACCTATTAATCAGGCACATGTCACAGAAAGACTGAGAAGAAAGCTTCAATAAATCTGTTGTGGACAGTAGTGCTTAGTATTTATACCCAGATTTCTTTCTTCAAGATTGGTCTGAACAATTTATTATGTTTCTAATGTGTTAGTGTGACTGGTTAAACAACTTACCAGTAAATATAAGTTGTGCTTATCTTGTCTCTGATAAACTGTGACTCTGAACTGTCTCACTCGGAGATCCTAAAAGCTTTTCAATGTACTGGCTGCTTTACTAATGCCATCCACCTGGGACTAACTGTCTGTGGGTTTAAATAACAATAATTTTTTTTCAGATTTTGACACAGTGAGTCCAGATGGCATTATAGATGAAAGACACAATGGAAAAAAGAGTCCTGATTGTAAGTGCAATTGAGTATCCAAGGCATGAAGTAGAGTAAGGTTGGGAGGGAAAAGAAAATCCTTCAAAGTAGCTGAACCCTTTGACTCCTAGAGTGACGAGCAGCTAACCTCTCTTTATAATATCACCCTGAATTAAACATTAAGATCACAAGAATAGGGAAACAATTACCAACTAAAGAAGCATGTGATTGTGAAACAAATTCTCCTTGTCAGCACTCTAGAAAAGGTATTGAGAACATAATGTAGAATATGCATACTGATTTCGGGGTGTTAAGGGTTAGTGGCGGAGGGAAGGAAAGAAGAGCAGGAGGAAGAAAAACACTCTTTCTGATACTTGTGCTAGTTGATTAATTATTCTTTTGAATAATTTAGAATTGTTACTTTGCAGTGCAAAATAAGTTGTTGCAAATGAACTCATCAAGTGAAGATGCAATAACAATTGAGGAAGTCTCTGCTGTATTACCTAACAGCAACCATCATGACAAACTATCAGAGCAAAAGAAAGGAAAGACAAAGAAAACACAAGCTGATCATTCACTGAAAAAGGAGGAGGACATGGATTTCTCACATGATGGGTCCATTAACTTACACAACAATGAACAGACAACGAGTGATGAAGCAGCTAGAGACAAACTCATGGAATCTCATTTAACAGAACCAGGAGTTACTGGTGTAGATAAAAAAAGCACATTAAAAAAATCTCCAAAGGAGCCTTGTGAGGATGAGATCCTATACTGTAATGATCCAGAGGAATTTTGTAGTGGCAAGGCTTCCAACACTGGTTTACCTGATGAAAAACTGCCCAGCATGTCTTCAAATAATCTGGATAGTGATGTTGTTACTGATGGTACTGAAAATGGAGAGGAATCTGCTGCAGAATCCAATGCTGATGGAGAGAAATGTAAGTGTGTGTGTAATAACATTGTCTCATCTTAAACTCTGGATTAACTTCAGTTGAACCTCTCCACAACCGCCACCTTGAGCAAAGAAGAAAGTGGCCGTTGTGGAGAGGTGGCTGTAATGGGGAGGTAGTGGTGTATTGTATGGACAGCCTGCCAGGACTAGAAAAAATGGTCATTGAGGAGAGGTGGCCATTAGTGGAGGTTCTTTGTATTTTATGGACAAACTTGTGTCTTTGAACTCTTTCCACTCTGTTGATTTTTTGCTTTTCAGTATTCAAGGATAGCAAAGCAGATTACTCACAACTGGTTGTCTATTTTTTTGACCGGTTATACATACATGTATACCATTGCTATTTATAAACACAGTGGTCAAACTTAGTCCATATGTAAGGGGATCAATTTTTAGGCCAGCCCTGCTCCAATTTCTTGCACAAAATTTCTAAGGAGAACATATTAACTTAATGTAAACAACCACTGTCATGCCAGATATATGGGGAAAAAAAACTGTGATACTTCCATGTAAATCTGTAAGTAATGATGTGTTTGCTATGTTGATAAGTACATGGCTTCACTACTAAAAATAAAATTCTCTCGTTTGTAATTTTGATTTCAGCTGAAAAGAAAAGTGTAGTAGATGATCTTGGAGCACGTCCAAAAGAGAAAAAAGCAAAAACTGCAGGACCATCTGAAACTGACAAAGAAAAGGCTATGGAAGTGGATGACACAGGTACAGTGGTTAACAAT